ATCATTNACAAAATCAGAAAATTTGTCTTCTTTTAGTATTTCTAAGCAAATGTTTATTAAAAAAGGAGTAACTTCATAGTTAAATTTTTTTGATTGACAAGTTTTTCTGACAAACAAATTTCCTAAAAAACTGTCATCCTCCAAATTTTTGCTAAACAATGCCAGAAAAAACAAAAAAGCAGAATGACGCTTGATCCAATCACTAGACAATAAATTATTCTCTATAGCTTTATAAAATGAAATTTCATCAATCACTTGGATATCTTCATCATATTCTTTTAAATTATCTTTCCTTATCTCTTTAACACTAAAATCTTCATCTTGTACAAGGGTGTTAATATCTAAATCCATTTTACTTTTTATCCATTGTTTCTGTAATTCATAATCTTTTGATTTTCTGTTATATTTTTTGCCACTGCTTTCCAAATAAGTATTTTTAAAAGTTAAATTTAAATTGTTTGTAGGCATAAAATGAATCAAAAAGGAGTCTTGGATTGAGTAAAGAAGCTTGGCAGCACAGTGCCTGTCTTCTATGCTGGTAGATTGGCTTAGATTGTATAATAGTGGTAATGTAGAAGTGTCAGTCTCTTTTGCTAAGATTGTTATTATGTCTTCTGTAAGCTGTGCTTTTTTTTCTTTTGTGACTAATGGGATTGAGTTAATGAGTTTTGATACTTGTGACATGGATTGAGTTTAATTGTTGTTTAAATACTTTTTTAATAAAAAATAAATAAAATTATTTTTTAATTAAAAAGGGTTAGTAAATGTTTTTTTAAAAAAAGAATTTTATTTATTTTAAATCTAATTTATTCTAAAAATAAAAAAAAATTCTATTACTAAAATTTATTATTTATATAACAAATCTTTAATTTAAATTATAATATACTTCTAAGAATAGTTTAAATTTATTTTTATTTCAAATTTTCTTTATTGAAATAAATTATATTTATTTTTTCATCAAAAATGAAGAAAAATAATTAACAAATAAAAAATAAAAAAATTAAACAATGTTTCTGATAGAATCTAAAAATTGGTGCCATTATAAAAATATAAACATTTTCTAAAAACAAATATGAATATTTACATCCTACTTCTATTGAAATTAACATTTACTTTTATTATAAAAACCAGGTCAGATGGAAGGTACATAAGTGTATCATCAAAAAACAAAATAAAAAGTAAGAAAAGTATTTATGATGCTGCCATTTTTAAGGCATATAATTTTGATAATACCCCAGAGAATGTTATTATCCGTAAAGAAAATAGTAAATTAGTTTGGGAAAATTTGAATTACGGCACTGAGTTAGGATTAAGAACGTACGATGGTAAAAGAACACAAGTTTTTAGAATTATTTTGGATTCTGAAGGATTTTTCCACTTTGGACAGGGAAAAAATATTTATTTGGAATACGATGCTAATTTTAAAAAGTTTAACATAGGACCGCACAGAAGAGGCACCGAACAAGGATTCATATTGGTAACTAATGATGGTAAGAAAGAGTATCCAAACAACAACCCTGAATTGACACCTAAAGAGGGTAAATCAAAGACAAGTGANTATTTAAATCAATTGCTTTTCCCATTTCTAACAAGAAGTTTGATGTATGATTAATGATTTAATAAAAAATTTTAATTTTTTATTTGGTTTAAAAAGTTTGTTTCAAAAGTAAAACTGTTTAATTTCAAAATTGATTTTTAGATTTAAAAAAAGAATTTTTGTGGTTGAAATTATGTTTCTTAAATTTAAATTTGTGTTCTTTGTTACTTTTGTGTGTGCGTTTAGAATTCAGGAAAGATCAACGTTAAAATTTATACATAATTTTGGAGAAGGAGTTATTGCCATGGTAGACACACCTGAAGAAGCAACCAATTATGCTATCAAACAATCAAAAAGAAATCTGAATGATGTGTATATAATGAACCAAGATGATGATAAAGTGTTCTCTGTTGGTTTTGATAAACACTTTCTGTTATCAGAAAAACCAACCTTGTCAGCAAGACAAGAGTTTGTGATCAGTTTAGACAAAGAAGGTTTTTATCAAATAGCCCATGGCCACGATCTATTTTTACAATATGATTCTTTTGTGAACGGATTAAGAATAGACAAATTTGATAAAAGCAAAAATATAGGTTTTTTACTTTACCAAGACGATGTTGCGTTACCATTTCCATCAGAGATAGATGATAAAGTAGAATCATCTTACAGGAAAAGAAGACCAAGAAGATTCAGAGATGATGAGTTTAAGAAAGCTAATGAGAGTTTGTTTGGTAACAAAGCAGCAGAGCAATACCAAAATTTGAAATATTTTACCTCTGAGAAGATTAGTAGATCTGATTTATTTGAAGATAGAAGTTTAAATCCTGCTGATATCCATGCAAATGCTCATAATGCAGCAGTAAATGTTTATAGAAATGATTATAAATCAATTGAAGAAAATTTAGGTTTAACTTTGGTTTATAAAAAAACAAAAAAATTTTTTGTGATGCTTAAAAGTGAATAAACATTTTTTTATTTATGTTTTTGATAAAATTTTGATTTTATAAATGTTAGTTGAAAATCTTAGACATTTTAAATGTTACAGCAAAAAAATCAACGTGTTAGTTACCATATTTTTTATAAAAAATAAAATTTATTATTTTACCTGCGATATTTGTTCGTAAAATAATTGTATAGAGATCCAGATAATGTTGAAGATTCTTTTTAAAGCATTTTTTAGTATAATCTCATTCTTATATTACTATTCTGTGCCAAAATTTTGTGCGTGCATTTTCGATTCTTTAGATTGACAAAGTTTAAAAATGTTTTTAAATTTAAATAAAAAATAAGTTTTAGAATTTTATTGTATCCCTCTTTTTATTAAAAAGTTATACATACGGGTATTACAATCGTTAAAGCTTTTTGTAAAAAAGAAAGCTCTTTTACAATTATCTTTAAAAACTATGTTTTAGTCTCTGTTGCATTTTAACAAATTTGTAAGTTTTTTTTAACTAATTTTCTCTATAACCTTTCATGTAAAAGTAAATAGATGCTTTAGTAATTTTGAAGTCTGTATTTAATTTTATAAAAACACACGAAATTTAATTTGGCAAATTAGGTGTCTCTTTGTATCTTAAATCTTTAATCCTTGTTGTAAAGATTTTTAACTTTTCTTACACGATGGTATAAATACAAGTTTTACCGTCTTAAATAATCATACTCAAACAATCTAATAATTAAAAACGTTAATTGTGCTGAGTGGATATCTTTTTATGTACTCTTTTTCTTTCTCTAACAATTTTTAATTCTTTGCTTATCGCACTGGCGTTAAGGTTTAAAGAATAATGAAATATAGCGTCCAAAACCAATTCAACTGGCAAGTTCTTTCAATAAAAAAATTTTTCCTTTTGACCATAATCATAAAATTACGAATTTAATTTTTTTTTCTGAAGATTGATCCTGTGTTCACATTTTAAAATTTTTGTATTGTTTTTTGATTCTAAATTCATTTTATTTGAACATTGGCAACAACCACAAACTGTTTACAAAATTAACTCTATGGGTGTTCAATATTATTTTTTAATTAATTTATGTAAACTTTAAAAATTGTTTACTTTTCGAAATTATAGTAAAATATTTCATTTATAAAACTCTTCCCTCAAAATTCTTTTACTAACTTTTTTATATTACACAATAACAAACAAACATTGTTACTTTTCAAATGCATGAGTAATTATTGTTTTTATATAAACAATTTACAAACCTCAAGAAATAAAAATTGGATTGATTTGAAAAGATTGTTAGTTTTCAAACAATGAAGAAAAAGAACATAATAAAAAGTATATTGATCTTGTTTCTATTCAAATTAAAAATTATGATTAATTTTAATAATTTACACTACAGAGACTGAAAACTTGTTTATAATTTTGGAATAAAGGTTTTATTATTATTGTATCTAATTATTATTCTTATTTCTGAGATAACTAATTAAAGATATACAATCTATTTAAATTGTTTGTGCACTCTATTGATTGCCTAAGTCTACCTTACCTTGCAAGCTTTAGTTACAGATATTTAAATTATTTCAATATGTTTAGATTTCTGGTAAAAAAATATTTCCACTTAAGAAACTAAGTTAAATTTATTGTAAAATAAAATTGTAATATTTTTACTATAACCCTCTTATAAAAATGATTTTATAAATAAATAATTTTTAATACCTTATGTTTATACACTTGGTATTAGTTTTCTCTAAAAATTACGCAATCCTTTTTAATGGTTCATGTAACTATTTTNANTNNTGGAGACACAATACAAACATACAATTACTAAACAAATTACTTTTACAAAACAAATTTACAGAAGAAGAAATCATTCTTTTGAGTGGTGAAGACACAAACTATGACTTAAGAAANCTTAAAAAAGGATATTCTTATTTAGACAGTCATAAAAAAATAGATGTATCTCAAAACAAATTTGAATCTTCTTCNGTACAATCTTTGATAAATATTCTTAATTTAAACCATAAAAAATTAAAGGAGGTTGACGGTAAAACTAATTTATTGATTTATTTATGTGGTCATGGCAATGTAAACTTTTTAAAAGTAAAATATAGAGAAGCAATTTTCTCAGAAGATTTTAACAAGCATGTACAAAATTTGGCTAAAAAAGTGGGAAAAATTTTTATAATCGTGGATACTTGTCAAGCTTCTTCGTTTATTCCTCAAAAAATTCCTTCAAATGTATTTTATCTGACAACCTCTAAAATTAATGAACCCTCTGTTTCTACTAATCTTAATAATAATTTGGGAGTGTATTGTGTTGATAATTTTTTATACAATGTTTATCTGAGAGGATTAGAAATGAATTCTAGGCTGTGTGATTATTTTAATTATTTTGATAAATCAATTATTAAATCTACTATTGTTATGGAAGGAAATGATAAGTTTTTGGTTAGAGATTTTTTTAGACAAAATGAATTTGTGGATAATAAATTGAATTTATAAANTAATTTTTTAAAAAATAGTAACGGCGGGATTCGAACCCGCGCCCCCGAAGAGAACAGATCTTGAGTCAGTCGCCTTGGACCACTCGGCCACGTTACTTGGAAATGGAATATCACGATTATATGTTATAATTTTATGTATAAAATAACTTTTTTTTCTTTTAGCTTATGACAGAAATTTTTAAAATATTAAAACAAGATAAATACACCAGGACATCAATCTTAAAACTAAGCACAGATGTAGAATTACCAAGATTCATGCCAGTCGCTACTTACGCATCAATGAAAAGTGTTCCATTTGAGTACGTTGACACTAATTTGTTTCTGTGTAACGCTTATCACTGCAGAAAGCTTAAAAATTTGAAAGAATTTATGGGCACAGACAAAAATATTTTAACTGATTCTGGTGGGTTTCAAATTGGATCACTCAACAATGTCAAAGTTTTAGAGGAAGGAGTATTATTCGATGATGATGGTAAAATTAATTTGTTTACCCCAGAAGATTCTATGAAAACACAGATTATGCTTGGATCCAATATAATTATGCAGTTGGATGATGTTGTTAACCCAAAAAGTGATTATGAAACTGTAAAAGAAGCAACTTTAAGAAGTCTTCGATGGTTAAAAAGATGCTTAAAATTTTTTAATGAATTTTCGAAAGAAACAATGAACTTAGAAAAAGAAAATGAATTTCATACCAAAAAAATCAAACAATCATCACAATTCGTAAAAAACAACCAAATTTTGATGCCAATAATTCAAGGTGGGTGTTTTTTAGATCTAAGAGATTTAAGTATAAAAAGTATATTGGAATTAAATCCTCCTGCGATCGCAATAGGAGGCTTAAGTGGTGGCGAAGATAAAACACTTATGTTCAAAACTATCTTACATTGTACCAAACAAATAAAAAACATTCCAATATACGTTATGGGGATAGGTTATCCAGAAGACGTGCTACTCTCTTTTGCGCTAGGTTGTGACATGATGGATTGTGTTTATCCAACAAGAACAGCCAGGTTTGGTAAAATGTTTGATGATTTTGGTGATATTAATTTATTAAAACCTTTAAAAGATAGAAAAAAATCAGAATGTCAATGTTTTACATGTAAAAATTATTCATTAGAATATCTTGGTTTAATAAAAAATACAACCAATTTCTGTTCGCTTGTTTCTATTCATAATTTATTTTATATGAATGAGTTAGGAAGAAGGGTTAGAGAAACTATTAATGATGGTAGTTTTGATTTATTTTTAAAAAAATATTTTGAAAATAGATATAATTTTGATGTGCCATGTTGGGTAAAAGAGGTATTAAGTTGGGTAGAAATTAAATTTTAATAAAAAATATTTTATTTTTAATGATTTATTTAAAATTTTTTATATATTTTTACAATATAAAAAAA